TAAGAAAGGAATGCCCAACTCCAACTACACATAGGAAAAAAAAAGGACATGAAGAAACAGTTCAGAGAAAAGGAAACACAAATGGCTCAAAAATTTCAGAGATGTTTAATGTCCCTCAAAACGAGAGAGATGCAAATGATAATAATCAATGCAATTCCTCACATATTAAAGTAGGAGACCTTTAAAAGTGTAATGACTCCCTGGGTCAGGGAAGGTGTGGGAAGAGGCCCTCACACATTGCTGATGGAAGTGTAAATTGGCAAGATCTCCATAAAGAGCACTTTGACAGTATCTATCAAAATACAAATGCAGCTTACTTTGAACCTCCACTTTGAAGAATTTCATGCATGCTGTAATTTCATTATATATTATGTGATAGCAAAGATGGAAACAACCCAAATATCCCCTTGTAGGTGACTCATGAAATAAATTACGGCCTGGTCATACAATGGGATACTGTGCAGGCACAGTGTACTGGCATGCACCCATCCCATCCAATATAGGTGACAAAAGGCATAGAGCAATGTATATGCTATAATACTGTTTGTGAGAGAAAAACATGTAAGTGGAAAGAGACCATTTCTGGAAGGATACATAAGAAAGTGGTAACCATGGTTGCTTCTGAAGAGGAAAACTAGAGGCAGAGATGGCAAGAAGTGTTACTTTTACTGTCTGCCTTCTGTTCCATGTGTGTGCATTATCTATTACAGTCAACTTTCTAAAAATAGGTATGCACGAAGATGTTCACTGTTGTGTTGCCTATACTAGATAAAATAAAACACCACTAGGATAATCTAACGGTGGGTTTTTAAAAAAAAGAACTACTACTGCAATGAAATTGTAATGACTTTAACCCTAATTAAATTGTACTGTCACTTTAAGTAACTTCTGGTCTTGAGCCCCAGAAAAAGAATATAAATTACTACCCAAGATATTTAAGCACCTCTCAGATGTACTTATAGGATAAAAGCCAGCAATTTGAGAATTCATGGAGAATAGAAGAAATATCAGAAGACTAGAGATAGACTAAAATCTCAAACTTCATATAGAGAAAAAGGACAGAGCTTGAAAAACTGACATTGATTTTTGGCAAAATTCTAGGGATTTATTCAAGGAAGTGGTGAGCAATAGAAACCCATATGGATTCACTCAGCACAACGCAGGATAAACTATGCAAATTACAAAGAGAAATATTTAAAAATCAGCAGAGTTGTGTTTTTTAGAACTTTGTTGAGAAAGTCTCAGAAGTACCTGAGAATCTGGGTTGCACAAGGAATGCTGGCATGTGGGACAGGCAGGCCCAGGGAGCAGGGCCCCCAACTGCCTGGTCTCTGTCCCCATAGCATGGCCCCTAAGGAACTCTGCAGAATTTTGTTGGATTCCTCTTTTCAGGAAGGCGTTGACAATTTCAACATGGCCAGGGGATAAAATGCAGAGCTATGAGTGTCATCAGGAACTTGCACACCAGGCTCCTGGCCCACTCAGGGTGTTTACTGATTTAAGATCCAAGATAATGCTTGGTGTTAACACTGGCCTTAGATTACTTAACATTCTTAACCAAGAGAAATCTTATATGTGAAAATGTTTTGAAAACTTTATAGGGCTGCACAAAAGAAAGGTTGTATTATTATTTATTATTATTATTATTATTTTGAAGAGATTGCAAATTACCAAGGCAAAAAAAGAAAAGAAACAAGATCCTAACAGGTGAGATCTAATAACTCAAAACTATTAAGATGAAACCTAAATCGTGTGCCATGTCACAGAAGCAGAGGCTGAGAAAGCCCTGACTTAATACAATCCCATAAAAGTTTGGTGACTCTGGTCCTCAGACAGCTAGAGGCATGTTACGTCTACTAAAATGCAGACATCAACTGTAGGCTTCATCGGTGGAAGCACAGTGTCTCTCTGTGCCCTCTTTTGATTAGGACACACAGGGCCTGCCAGGCTTTGTTCTAAAGGCCGTGCTTAAGAGATGCATATGCAAGAGAAACAATCAATATGGCAAAATTGAGCATATATGGAATGACTGAAGTAGCTAGAAATTTCTTAGCCAGGAAAGAAACTACTTGGGTATCCGCAAATATCTGAACATGTATTATATATAAAGGAAACAATTCATTCAGAGGAGTGAGCTGCACAAATAAGTGAAAGACCACCCCAGTTAAAGTCACCCAAAAACATGCCTCTCTGAAAGGAAGAGCAAATAACAGAGTGAGCTACCCAGCTAACAGGGCACTCTTTCCCATCCAGCAGGGACATACACGGCAGGGGTATTAATCAAGGGGGAAGGGAGCATTGTCAGCTCTTATAATAATCTGGGATTCTGTTTTGACAGTTTTATGCGTGTAGGTGTGCTATTATAGCCTGTGTAATATATATATATATATACACACACACACACACTATATATACATATAGAATATATATATATACTATTAATAATAGAATATTTATTTACAATGTAACATAACATACTATAATATACCATAATATGTGCCTGCTGGTTCTGCTGTAGCCCTCATAATACCTAGGGATAGAATAGGGCATGTATTGCAGGGACACATACATGCTGAAGGAAGTCTAATGATCTAAGGACATTGTCTGAGGCTTGTTTGCAAGCAGGAAAACCACGGTATAGAGTGAGGGGAGAGAGTACAAAAGGTAACTTCTCAGACCCTGCACTTCCACCCACTGACAGAGGCAGAACCTTCCACTTCTGTTCTGCTTGCAAACCAAGCAGATGGGCACCTGACCCCTAGAATTCTGCACCCATCACAGTATACATCCAGTATTTGCACATCTGATGCAGTATCTAACATACCCAGCCAGCTGAGGAGACAGTCTGCCTTAGTAGGTGCCTCAGTGTGCTTTAAAAGCGCTAAAACATTTGTTGTGGAATAGAACACTGCGGAAGGACAGTTGTTCATTTAGATCTTATTTGTGCATGAAAATCAATATCCTTTATAGTCTTTATCCTATAAGCAAATGTGTCTCTGTTGTTCCAATGTCTTCACCTCCCAGTCTTACCCTGTCAGCTATATATAACTGCACATACCTACAAATGCCCCCAAAACATACTGCACACAGTGCCATCCTTGGCCCAGTCCAGGGCTAATTTAGAAAATTTATCCAGCCTTCCAGTATGCTTCCAGAGCTTGTGTTCAAGAACTATTTAGGCTCTCTTCTCCCACCATCCATGGCGGAGTATGAATAGCTGGTCCCCCCCACCACGAAGATGATGATACTCTTCCTCACCTCCTAACTTTCAAGCTGGCCTCCCCTGAGACCCCAGCACCCTCTATACACATTTGCTTTGATGTGTATCATTCCTCTGCTACTTCAGAAAAGGGGCTTAAAGTATTTGCAAATGTTGCCAAATCCTAGCTTTCACAGACATACAGAGTATTAAAATTAATATAGTCATTGTTCTTAATGTTTCCATGTTGATAAGAAAAAAACATTGCCCTCCATGGACGGGAAACAGATTCACTGCAATATTTTTGGGAAGGAAAGGCTGTCTGGGGAACAAGGTGAATCAAGTCAGAAGGATCTTCCCCATTAACAGCTAATTCAGGCAGTTCCCACAGGACAGATCATTTCTTGCCAGGTTCGTACAAGATTAAAACAATGATTATAATGATGTAAGAGTTTCATCTTACACAACCATGAGCTGTAACTGTTTACTAACACACATTTGGGGAAAAAGATAGAAGCACATTGATTATACTGTAAACTGTTAAATTTCAGTATCATTTAAACAAAGCATTGAAAACTCTGCCCGGAATTGCTCAGAATGGGGTAATGGTCTACATTTAATTTGAAATGCAAATTAATTATTTAAAACCACAGAAAGGGCAAAACCCATAAATGGCTTGACTAACGGGGCACACATTTCACTTACGCGTTGAAAAAAAAACTAGAAATTATAGAGGTTTGGGCATTAATTTTCTAACATTGCCCATTCTCCAGTTTCATGCCTAGCACGCAGCTCTCACAAAACGCCGCTTCTTTCCACACAATGTGAATCTCTGCTAGAGGGGCTCCCCCAGACTCTGCGCCAGATGGATGTTCCGCTAAGGCTTACGGGGTCTCAGTGCCTCAGACAAAAGCAGCTGCTGTGTAAGGGCAGTGGTGGCCCCGAAATACCAAATTCTTAGCGTCCTTTCCACACTCCATGTTTACTGAAGTCCTAAGAGAACATTTGAGGGAACACTGGGGTAGCAACGTCTAAAGACAAACATGCCACTCTTTGGAGAGAATTGAGCCTGGGGAGAGGGGAAAGGGAAATTTCGAAGCTTTTGCTCTCTGGCTACAACTTGGGTGCTTTAGTTGGCATTAGTCTGTAAGCCAAGCGCCAGATGGCTGAGATCTGCCGGAAAGAACACTGGGAATAGGACACTATTCTCATGGATAGACATTTCTTTGTGGGAGGCACAGGGATAAGGAGCCAGGCAGCCGAGCAGAACAGCGGTGCTGGTTCCAGCCAGCAGAGCTTAAATAAGGTGAGTCCTACAGGGCTAGCTGGTGACAGGTCAGTGGCCTTACCCTCCTCGCGGGCTACCCTGACTGATTGAGGGTGACAGCTCCCAAGGTGTAGTACTGAATGAAGCTCGAGCCTCTTGGCGGGGAGGGGCGCTCATTGAATATGTATGTGCACCGGGACAGGAGTTTGGGTGCAAACTAGGAAAGACTATGGTGCCCCCTTAAAGTTGGAAGGTAGCGTCACCTCCGAGGGTGGCAGTATCCCCGCGGGGGTGATAAAAAGCCCTCGCTTCCTATCCAAGTAATTACATCTCCTTTGGGGGACGGAAGGAGGTTAAGCCCATGCGAGATGCATGCACACACAGGCTTGCACCACTTTAGGTACTTCGGGTTCCAGATGACTCCCACTAGGACCTCGGTCTGCTCAGCAGGGGATGTCGGGAAGGGTGGAGGCGACCCAGGAGTGAAAAGGGCTCAGGAGAAGGACGCGGGGCCAGGGCGGTCGAGGCCCTTACCTTGCTGACCACGTTTTGGACGAGGCCTGTGCGGATGCCATAGTCCCACGTGTGGCAGTCGCAGTTGGAGGCGTTGTCCCCCTTGTCCGGAGGGGACGGCAGGGGTGGCGTGTCGCCCCCGTCTGCGCCGCTGCTATTGCTAAGATTGCCCGCCGCCCCCCAGGCGGCCGCGGCGAAGGGGGTGGTCGGGGGGCTGGTCCAGTTGGCCACGTCGCCGGCGCCCCACCGGCCGGTGGCGGTGACCCCCGCCAGCTCCGCGTCTCTGCCTGACCCGCGACACCAGAAGTTCGGCTGGTCCAAGAGGAAAGAGTCCGAGAACTGGCTGAAGCCGATGAACAGCGCCGGGATCCAGGTGAGCAGCACGAGGGTCCTCTGATAGCCCCCGCCTAGGCCTCCGAGGAAGGGCAGCACCGACCCGTCGTAGTCCAGCAACAGGAGGCTCGGGGCCGCAGCCGCCGAGCAGCAGCTCGAGTGCGGGCCGCCGAGCGCGGGCTGCGCGGCCGGCAGCGGCTGGATCTCTGCGCTGCCGCTCGGGCCCGGACGTCCCCCGAGGGGCGCCGAGGCCGCCGCGTCGCCCGGCGGCAAGGAGCCGTTCTCCTCGCCCGGGGCCGGCTGCCGCCCGGGCCCGCCGCCAGCCGCCTCGCGCCGCCGGTCTATCGCCATGGCCCGGGCCCGCGGCGCCCGCAGAGGCGCATAGAGCGCGGCCGAGGCTCCCGCGGGCGCCCGAGGAGAGCGCGCCGGGCCGGGCGCCGCCGCCTCCGAGGATGGCCCGCGGCTGGAGAGAGAGCGCTCGGCCGCTCGGGGCGTCAGTCCGTCCCCATGTCCCCCGCGCGGACCCCGCGCCCCGGGCGCTGCGGCGCCGGGCAGAGGACGGGCAGAGGCCGGCCGGGCCCTCAGCCGCCGCCGCTCATCGGCTCCGCGGCCCGGGCGCCGGCAGCCAAGCCCGCTGCCCTCCGGTGCTCGGCGCGGCCACGGGAGGAGGGCGGGAGCCGCGCCGCAGCCGGTCGGCCCTGAGCCCTGCGGGTCGCGGTGCCCGCGGCGGCCGCCGCTCCCCGGGAGCCGGAATGGCTTTATCCGACCTCGGGCGCCTCCCGGAAGCCGCGGGCTCGGGTCCCGGCCCGCCGCCCGCCCGCCGGCCCGCGCTCTCCCGCTCTCCCGCTCTCCCGCGCCGGGAGCCGGCCTCCCTCCCTGGCCTCCGCTCCCCGACCCCCGGCCCGCCCCCTCTCCCCCCGCGGAGGTGGAGGTAACCGCGGCACCTGCTGCGCCCGGCTCCTGCGCGCGAGCGCCCCCTCCGGCCGGGACGCGCCGCCGCCGCCGCGGGATCTACGGCAGGGGCGGGGGAAACGGGACACCCGCGCGCGCCGGGCCCGAGGATCCCCTGCCCGTTCCCGCTCCGCGCCGGCGGGCGGGGCGGGAGGAGGCGCGCGGAGCAACGGACGCGGGGGGCAGGGGGCCCGGAGGCGGCGGCGAGAGCGGGGAGCGGGAGGCCTGGGTTGCCTTCGAGGCTCATCTCCTGCCGTCGCGCGGGGTCTCGGTGACCTTTCTCTGATCGCTTCGGAGGTGTCCGCACCCTACTTGCAGTTCCGAGCCCAAGGGTCGCAAGCATTCGGGAGCACCCCACTCGCGCCTTTTCGAGGTGCAGATACGGGTGATTATTGTGTCTGTAGAGTAGGGTCAAGAAGGCACATTTGCCAATTTCAGGTCGTTGGACACCCGCAGCGTCCGGTCACTCGCGACCGACCGCAGTACCCACTCTCAAATCGCCATTTCTTCCCCACTTTAAAATGAATGCTCTGTAAGTACAATGCTAGAAGGATACATTGCCAGTCCAAGTTATATATACACATTAACGTGAGTGGTAATGGTATTCCCCACCCCCTCCCCAAGATCTTGAATTCACATTTGGAACCCCAAGTGCACGGGCGCACACATGCATGTTCGCACACAGGAAGACAAACCTCTCCCTCCTCTCCCGCGCTCCAGCGCCAACCTTGCCCAGCCAGCGCTGTATAAATAACACCAGCCCTGCGGCAAACGCCTGTATTAGCATATTTCCTCGGGCACCCACGGCCCAGCCAGGATGAGCACAGCGTGGCACCTTTTACCCCAGCGCTCCCACACGTTGGAGACCTTTCATATTCTGAGAAATTTATTAGGAAGTCTTACATAGAGCAATCCATTTCCAATATTTTGGGAGGGGAAATGTGAACGAAATGCTTCTGTTTTCCAAAACAATACCTTCTAAGCTACATACACGGAAAAAATCCTTTTGCATTTCCACTATCCCTTTACATTTTTAACCCGCGGTTCTTTTTTGCTACGGGCAACATGTGCTTACTACTAAAATTTTGGCACATCTGAGAGAATTCTTTCTGAAGGTTGTCAGTGGGCTGGGCCTTGGGGCCGGGTGGGTCATGGGCTTTGCTGCTTGGCTGAGGAGGTGAGATTAGATAACCATGGGCAGAAGAGGCCCAAAGAGTTGCAGGCCTCCAAGAAATGCTTCTCAAAACCTGCATGTATTTAAAGAGCTTTTGGGAGTGATAATGTACGTTGTGTAGTAATGATTTCTTTTCCAACTTCACATTATTAATTAGCTTGATTTTTTTCTTCCCTCCCCACTCCCGCTGGAAGAGATAATAAATGCAAAAGTGTTTACCATGTTTCCAACGGAGAAAGTTATTAATAAATGTTAACCACTTATTATTACCTCTACTGCTCTTGCTATTATATAAAATCTGCATTTCTATTTCTGAATTTAAATACAAGTTTATTGTTATTATTCATTTCCTCTTCAGTGGCTGGTTTTAAGAGTTCCACTTTGTGTTTGGCTTTTCCTATTTACCTCAAAGTCACAAGGACTCATTTGCTTTCTTATAATTCATGGTAAAAAATAACCATTGTCAGTGACCTCCAGGGCCATTCCAATGATAATGAGAAATAGCATTGAACTCTGTAGGGCTGGTTTTCAAATACACACTCTCATTCATTCCTCAGGGGGCCCCCCCAGAGGTGGGTCTTCCAGATGAGGACTGTAAGGTTAGGTGAGGACCAGATCAGAGAGTTTGCCCACAGAACTTTGAACCCAGAGCTTCTGACTTGACAATCCAGGTTTTCTCCATTTCAACATTCAGGGGGCAGATTACAATACCATAAGAAAGGGTTTTAAAAAGTTATTTGTTAATATGCATTTTAGGTGGAAGGAGCCCTAGCCCTGGGGAGGAGTTTCATTGCCAAATTCTTAATACTCCTTGTCCCAGAAAAGTGATGAAAATCCTTATATTGTGTATTCCCAGAATTGGGGGACACAGTAGAAATTGGTGTCCTCTAAATTCAAGCCAAAAGGAACCAACACAAAATGTTTGAAATTCTTCCTTTCCTTTTTTTCCTTCTCTGTTGCCTGTGCTGCTTCTACAATTAGGAAACATGAAAAAATGGTCACAGTGAAAACAGTAATATTGTAATAACTGAAAACAAATGTATGGAATTAGCCATCTGCAACACTGATACGGACATTGTAATTAAGTTGCTGATTAGATTAGTGGTTTCCCTAAATCCCTCTTGAATCAATATGCCCACCAAATGTAGAAGATTAAAAAGTAGCTAATTTAAAATAAACTGGCCTGTCATTCATTAAGACCTACCACAAAATGACCTCAGAGAGGGACCTAGAAGGAAAGAAGTAAAGAGGAAGAATTTGATACTGAGATAACCCCAGGGAAGTTATTTAGGTTCACTGACCAGTATAGGGCAGCCAATCAGGCACCTGCTTTCATTTTACCCTATTTTACTTTTCTGGGTGATGGCTATTACTAAGTGCTAGTTTTCTTGCTTATTTATTCATTTACTACCTCCTACCTCTAGACAGGTACTTTGTACTCAGCTATATTCCTGGTACCTTAAACAGCACTTTTTAAAAAAACATTCAGTACGTATTTGTTGAATAAATTGGTGTATCAAATTATTATCACTCGATGGTATCATGTTAGTATCCTACAATTCTGTTAACTTTGATTCCTAAGTCACAAGCAACCTTTTCATGTTTGCTCAATCTTTCAAACATAGTGGTCAGATCAGCCAACATGAGAATTCAAATGAACTTAACAACTATTTTGCTAATCATAAGTTATTGTGGCTAATGGATTAGCTCCGAATATGAAGTTCTTGTGGGCAGTTACTGGCTTGCAGATGGTTGGTTTATAGGCAAAATGCAGCTCACAGACCTCACACAGTGTTTTGGGAAAACCAATTGCCAACATTTGAAAATCAGGATTGAACACTAAAAAACAAAATAGCAGAAACCCTGGCCCTTTTGTCTCCTCGTATTTGTAGGGCCATGCTTCCTTGGTGTACAGTGGATAGGCAAGTGATCCTCAGTCCTCCTGGTCCATCTGTGCCTGGCACACGTCCCTCAGGCCCCATTTGTCTGGCCCCCCCAAAGCGTCTGAGTTTGTGATCCTAACTTCACGTTAGTATCCTGACCTCACCCATCTCATAAGGAAGATGAACCATTCTCTCTTTGAAAGCATGTTAAATAATCTGTCAGTTTTTAATTTCCTAAAAATTGAGAAAATAAAAAAAGGAAGTGAAAGGTGCAACCTAATCACCAATGTACTTGAACAATTTCATTCCCTTAGAGATAACAAGAGGAAAGAAAATTTTATCTTACTGCTAGGGTTGATAGAAATCTAATTTTAAATCCTCTGTAATTCCATGAAAGTTAGTTCCGAGGAATTGGCATCAGAGCTAATTAACTTAAACTGTACAATACTAGTCATAGCAAATGGATTTTTAATTAGTTTTACCTGTATTTCATGTTTTTAATTTATACTTCAAGTATAGATTCATGTCAAATATTGGATTATCATGTGTTTTTTTCTTACTGCAGTTTGATTTCTTTCAAATAATTATCTGAAAAGTAGACTTTCTTGATTTTTAGAGGATTGGAAAAACTGATAGAAAATTACTCAAGATTTTAATTGTGTACATTCGAACATTGTTTTGTCATCCTTTGACTTTTGGAATGCTAATGCTGACTTTCCAACAAAGGGTTTGACATTTACAAAACCTATCATAAACAAAAATGAAAATGTACTTTTGTTCAGCGGCAGAAGTAATAAAAATGTCATATAATCACTCCTAAGGAAGCTACAGGCAATAGCTTGAGGAAAACTACTTGCTCATCCAGTACAAGCCAGATTCAGCCTTCCTGATCAAAAGGCGGAATGAAAATAAACAACAAGGTAAAGATAATGCTTCTATGCAAAAGCTATTCAGTTGTAAATATGATAGAGAAGGCTCAATTACTTTTGAAAGCCTGGTCAAAAATGTAATTTTGAACTCTTTTGAGTTAAAAACAATTAGTACCTAACAAATTGATCCAGAATTTGGTGTTGGCTTTTGTTTGCTAAAAACCCCAGATGTAACATTTGCCTTAGAGTGCTTAAGAACGTTCTTATCACACACATATACACACAGACACACAAGAAAAAGGTCTGAATGCCAGGACTTTAAAGTGAACATCATTTGTCTCATTCCAACATGGAAATAGCTTCTTTCACTTGATGAGAATCATCCCAAAATTTGCAAATGACCCTCAGGCTTCAAGTATGTACATTGGGGGCGTTCAGCAGTTCATGAGCCATCTGAAAGTAATCATTGTCAGGAGCCTTTGTGGAAACAGTAATCAAGTAACAAA